TTTTCCTTTCTTAATTTTCTTGTTAAAATTTAATTTTTATATATCATTAAAAACAGTATGTTTTTACTAATGGCTCCAATTTATTATTAATATTGTACATTGAAAATAAAATGTTTGTATTATTAGTAGAGTGTATAAAATGTAATTAAAAAGAATTATAAATATAATCTGAACACCGATAAATTGTCGCTTAGTACATTCCACAAAATATTCCTATAAATAACGTACGGTCTTTATGTTAAAACTGTGCCATATAAATCTTCTTTAGCACACCCAAAATATTTGCCATAGATTTGGCCAAAATCGTGTCACGAACAATAGAAGTGATTCTCATAGCTATTTACGATCTTTGTGCACGCTGTATGTACCATAATCTGCAGACTTTAATTCTATCACGGAATTCGCATTCTAAATAATCCCCTTATACGTAACAGGGAGCTAAAATATGCAGGGGTACGCCTATGGTTGCCAACCGTAATAATTCGTAATATTATTTTGGACCTATGAATTAGTTGATCCAGCGGACTTAGCATTGCATTTTAATTAACAAAAGTAGTTTTGAGTCACGTTTTGCCCTATTTGTATTTAACTGCATTTATACACGCAATCTTAAGTAACTTCAAATGTCTTGCATTCAACGTGTTAATAGTTTTTAAGAGATAAGACTACCAAATCAAAAATAATACAGAAAACAATCAGTATTACTTGATGTAACGAGATTTTAAGACTTGTACAGTTTAGCGTTGGAGAAAATTTATGCTGAGATCGCAAAATTCAAGATTCATATTATTAAACAGAGACTAAGCAAAAGTTAACCTATTACGACATTTTACGGCAGGAATATTTACTCTTAGAAGGTGCTTATTATCTATATAATATGAATTTAGACTAATACTAAAATTGCAATTTTAGCTCATATTTACTCCGACGCTAAATCTTGCTTGTTAATAGTACTGTTAATGCTTTAATTTAATTTACCCGCTACATCACAATATACCACTATTGTAATAGGAAGACACAACACAACACAAAAACATAGTTAATTGTATCAATAGTTTGAGACGACAACTGTTAGGGTCACCGACTGACACCAGAATGACACGTGCCATGCACGAGATGTTGCGTACTTTTCTTTGAATTAGCAATATTTTGTCGCAGTATTTGTTACGTATATTCTGTAAATTTAAATCATAGCAACCCTGAGTATGATACAACTGGTATTTCGATACAATGCTTTCGCGTTATGTGACACAATGGTTACGAAGATCAAAATCATAATATTAGGAAAGCATTTTGCTTCATTTATCATATTTTTGTAAATTTTTATGTGGAGTTCGGATAAGAACTTGTTTTCAATATAAGCCAAAATTCTACAGAATAACTATTGCTATCGTAGCATTACTGAACTTAATAAATAATTAATATTTTGATTTCAAATGAATTTAGTATACCTCGCTTTAAGTTTAAAGCAAATAAATAAGGATTCAACCTGCTACTGCAGAAACCTCATTTACATTTCTTAGAACGTAGAAGCCGGGTGACTGGAGCAGGCGCGTCTGCATAACTATGAATAATTAAAACGCCCTACTCTTGTCTGATATATTGTAGCATTGTGTGTTCGCTACGAAAATGATAACTACTTTCCAAATAGTTCAATTACCAAATTTTAGTTTAAAATTGCATCCCTTTTAGTAGTTATTGTAATTTTATGACAGCCACACAAAGTTTACAGAATACATTTAATATAATATATCTTTTGTTTTTTATTTTTATTTTAGATTATAAATGGAGGTCATATAATAATTGTTAGTAAAAGTGACTTGCTTTTCAATAAGTTTTGTTGGAGATTTTGTAAGGCTGTGTGTAAAGTAACATTGTTAACCCGAGCCAGAGCGACAAAATTTTGTTTATCTGTATCTAGTAAAGGCTTTGTTTACAAAGGCACGTGATAAAATGGAATGCATGGACACCCTCTATAACTGGTGGGCTATTACCAAATCGTTCTAAAGCGTATCATATGACAAGCTGTTTCCCGCGACTTGGCCCGCGTAAATTATACCCTCTCGTATGATATAGTTCCCGTAGGTGAAAGCATTTTTAAAAATGGCCCAGTAATTTCGGAACCTATTCGTTGCAAACAAACAAACAATCAAATATTCCCTCTTTATAATGTTATATATATATATATATAAATTCCTCTTTTAAGGTTAAACAAATTTACCTGACCATAATATAAGAGATAATTTTTGATCCCACCTCTCCCTCAAGTATGTGCTATGAGTTTGCCCAAAGATTTTAAAGGAAAACCGGCTATTTTTATTTAATTTTAATTATTTAAATCCGTAAGCTGCAGGGCTGTTTGTTAGTAAATGTGATGTGGAGATACTTTAAGGTCTGGACAAGGGACTATTTTTCCAAATATATCAAAAACAAGTAAGAAACATATAAAATACAAATCGGATCTTATCAATCGTACACGTAAAAAGTAATCATCATCAGCGCTATTACGTCCCCACCGGGTGCAGGGATTCAGGCCTTTGGGGCAGTCTAGCAGGTTAGCGCGCTCGCTAGGCATTGCACGTCCTTTGTCCTGTCTGGGGGGTTGGACCCGAACGTTGCTGAGCCATTCCCCTAACCCGAGATAGGACCCACCCTGTAAAAAGAGCGGGTCGAGCGGGGACGACATGCGCGGGAACTGGTCCCGTTGGGGACCTTTACCGCGTATCGTCCCCCCGCAGTGAGGGATATCGCTGAGTTTAGTATTGGGTAGGCCCCTGCTTTTTGACCAGCCCCCACTACTTATAGATGGTTAAGGGGGTGGGCCATGACCCTCCACACAGGCCTCGGTGGCGGATTGGAGGGTATTAACGGAAGCGAATGCAGCCGGGACCAACAGCTTAACGTGCGTTCTGAAGCACGGAGTAGCTTGAGAAATTATTTTTTTTTGGTCACCCTTCCCGGGAGGGACCCTTGCGAAAGTTGCTTAACAACAACGAATGCGGGTGGCGGCACTTATCCTCTACGCCACCGAGCTACTACAAAAACCAAAGATGTTATTAATGTAGCTTAATTCATAGAATAGCAAAAAAGGTACATTTATTAGGATTACTCGTTTGTTCGTTTGTCACAAGTAATTTTCTCCAAAATTTCTATTAAATTTAAGAAACAACCTATTGAGTTCAAATATATTTAACTTAGTATTAATTTAGTGACCCAAAGGTGGCCCTGTAACGCAAATCATTAAATATTAGTCACAGAAACCTCATTGGAAAGAATTAGTAATAAAAAAAATGTTCGGTAATTTTATGCAAGGGTATATCAAATAAAAGAACGTATAGCGATGTGATTTATACTTATAAAAAATTAAGATGATTAGATATGACATTTTATCTTTAATTTTGTTTAAATCATTATGACTTGAGAACATTATTATAATAGGTACTTACATAATTTTGATAGCCATTTTAAATATCTTTTATATTTATTTCGCTGCGTTATTTTGATTTTCGAGTGATACAGTGGTAGGGGCTCATAGATTTGGCACAAGAAACTGAAACGAGGCGTAGAGAAAATTTACAAGATTCACGGTACACGAATCATTATTTACTTCAATGGTTTTCAATAAATTGTGATGATAAGAAAACGGTTGAAGATCCTATGCACATAAACTTAAGACACTTTTTACTGCATCAACTCTAATTACTCGTAGTATTTGAATATATTAATGAGCTTTTATCACAAAATTTTATATACAAATTGATTACGGCAATTCGTTATTTTGATTTAATGTACTGTTAGAGACAATGTTGACCGCTTAAATTTCAAAATTTCAGACATGAAATCTATATAATCAATCCATTTTTAAATTAAATAGATTTTAATATGAATGAAAAGTTCCATAGCAAACATGATCCAATTGTAAACTATACGGTCAGCAAATCGTGTAGAATTTTCTGCAAAAAATATAAGAAAGATATTGACCTCAAACATAAGTTAAAGAAAGAGCTATTATATTCTAGAGGAGTTTCTCTAACGACGTTTAAATGCCTTTTGAAAAAGTTTTTATTTCGTCAACAAAAGGATTCCACAGTCGCTTATAAAGATAACTCGATTTACTTAACTAAGTTAAACAACTTTGCGGGGAGCACAATAAGTAATGTTACTTGTTTCGAAAGTAACCTGAACATAAGTTATTTCTTAATATAAGTTAAATAAAATAGATGGCACTGTTTACAGGTTACAGAAATAATACTTTCTGAACCGAAAGGTTATTATAATTTTCTTTTCACGATTATCGATTAAGTGTTACAGAATTAAAAAAAATGCTATTTAATAAAATCTCTGTATTTGGTAAATCTAAACAACATCAGAGTTCATTTACGATTAATCGAATATATGTAATTATTATCTGGCGAACTCTATAGCCGAGTGATACAGACGCCAGTTTCAAAGTGTCGCCCTGTCTAAGGTCACGGGTTCGATTTCCTTTCGGGTCAATATTGAAAATTAAGTTATCTACATAATCTACGGTCCGGGTATAACGCAACTTTATTGTTCCAGATTTCCATAATACAAGAGTTTTAAGGCTTAAAGGAGGTATTGCCATTAGTAAAACTTTACCCAAACTTATAAGAGCTGAAAAATTAAACTGTATAATAATAATGATGAATTTTCTATTAATTTAAATAGTATTTTTTGAAATCAAAATAGTATGTGGGCGATAAATGGCAGCATTTTATATTAAACATAATAAAGTAAAGGTTAACAAATAATCAAGTTTAATTTATAATAGTTTTAAGAATAATAGTTTTGTTCTAGTATTGGTAACATAAAATAGTGAACGCCTTCTGTTTTTATAAGATCAAGTAGAATAGTTTTAAATTGCAGCCCTGCAATCGACGGGCTAATAAAAAGGACTGTGATTTCAATGCATTTTGGTCGGTTTTTGCACACTAGTTTTCAAAATTAGGCATTATAAGGCAACACTATCTTATTTCACACTAATTTTCTCTATTCAAATTAGTACTTACATGAAAAGCGCCCCTGATAAGCGGTCCAGCTTGTCCAACATACAGCGTAGACGCTGAATCAAATACCAGTTCCATAGGATTCCTCCTCACGGCAACAGTATCGAATTCGTGACAATTAAGAAATAATGTCACGTTATCCACAGTAACCCTCAAAGCGAATCGGCTCCATTTTTTAGAAAAGGACGGGACAACAAAGGATGCTATCGTTTGCGATAAGGCGTACACATTCGCATCAGTGTACAACAAAGATATGTTTGTCAAACCAGGGCCGGAGGGTATGAGTTGTACGCCCAATTGCACGACTGTTTCCAAAGGGTTAACCACAGAGAAGAGAAAGCCGCCATCTTTGTTTGCCGGTCTAACGGTGGCTGTTATGGAAAATTCGGAGTACAATTTTTCCGGCATGAACAGACGGTACGGCGATTTGATATCGGATCCTGGTTTCAAACCGTAAGCGGGGAAACCGTCTAAGCCTTCGTCGAAGTATTGGGTTTTCGGGTTACTGAATGGTACGCCGATTGCATGAAGTAAGTCGTATTCAGGAACATCTGTAACAATATAATAATTATATATATTTTTTGCATTGAGTGATTTTTTGTTCTTAAAGCTAAACTACTGGGTATGAATCTTGCACGATATATTGTTTTGAGTAGCTCTTTTTAAGCAACTTTCGCAAGGGTCGGTTACGGCATGGGGGACCAAAAATTATTATCACAACCCACTCCTTGCTTCGAAAGCACGGTACGCCGTGGCCGTGGCTGCATCTGTAGTCGTTAATACCCTTCAAACCACACTGGGCCATCGTGGAGGATCATGGCCCGTCCTCCTTAACCGGCGATAAGGAAGGTTCGAGAATTTGAGGTGGCGACGTAAAAGGGCTGATAAAGATATTGTTTTTGCTGATTTTGCTGAGTTTGATGAAATATCTGCCAAGCTGTGAGCAAATGAAAATTGCAAAGTATTGGAATTTGCTAAGCCAGTTTTGTAATAGTCATCACATTTTTCAATATTTAAGAACTATATCAGATATAGTGACTTTGCCTTTATATGTTCACTCTGTGGACATCCACACAAAATAATAAGAACGAATAAACTTCTTTTTCTCAATTGAAACACTCTCGGGAGAGTGGCCATAGCCAACAAGAAATATCTGTTGGAACTAATCAACTAACCAAAAGTAAATATTTAAAAGACCAAAAAGTTATTAAAATAAATATAAATATACACTCCATACGTATTTATGCAAATAACCTCCTTGTTTATATCAAGGAACTAATACAAACTTTCTGTTTTGATCCACATTGTTTGGAAAGTCGATAATACTCCGACCCTTAATGACATAACATTATCCAGTCGTAAATGAACCACATTATGTACTAGTCTACAAAGAACTTTGACTGAAATTGTAATAATGATGTGCTGTTAAGTATTAAGTTACTATAAAAGTCAAACTTCTGCAACCAATTTTGAACTTTGTTATTTATTTGTTGAAATCTATAAGACATGTCTATTTGTCTTATAGATACGACTCTTCGATAGTAATAAATTCACATCAATTAATCTTTTTTAGCTTATCTTAAACACCATATTCCTTGAAATCATTGCTACCTAATGTCTGAGTTTATAAATATTACATTCACTAAAGTGTCTTATTTTAAACTAAGATATAAGTAGAAGTATGTATATGTACATATATACATTGTACATGTATAATTGTATTTGTAAATGTACATGTATATATATGGTTCACTTTCATAAGAAACATTTTCAGCGGCAAACCATTGACGCATTCGCAGTCTTCGTTTTGTGCTCTAAATAGCACTGTTAAAGCGTTTGCGGTTATCTCATAGAACATGAAGTGAAGAGTATATGAAAAAATTCCAGAAGCTACAAAGTATTAAATATTTAATATTATTAAACGAAATCATTCGATTTGCTGCAATCTCAAAATGTGTTTCTGAAATATTTATGTTGTGGAAATAACATTTTTGAAATATTTTTTTGGTAAGAAATTAATCTACATTAAATCTATCTATATTAGATAATACTAGCTTTCAGCCAGCTGCATCACCCGCTACGTCTTGTATAATACCCAAAAATCATCCTTTTGAGTCACTTTATCTATAAAAAATTTCATCAAATTCCGTTGTGTACTTTTAAAGATCTAAGCATACATAGGGACAGACAGACGGGGAGCCACTTTGTTTTACACTATGTATTGATGAGCATCAAAACTTATATCCTACTTCTTATATTTATAGGAAAAGGTCTTAAAATTTTTGATTCTTGAAAAAATTGTACAACTTTAATGCGTTAAAATTAATATCAACATTATTTCGTTTTGTTATATCTTGACGTGCTGCTGTGAGTTAGCGAAATTCAACATTAATCTTACAAATATTCTTTCTGGATAACAATTTTTGAAATGCAAGCATGCGAAGTAACTGGTAAGGACTTCAATTTACTTTAAATAAAGTATAATTTTTAAATGAATTGTTTCAAAATTATTCAATTACATAGCTAATATTTAGCATCACTTCTGCTATTTTAAAGTATACTATATTTTGTTGCCAAGTGACTTCATAATAATGAAAAGAGATTTTATCGCTGTTATATGTGATTTAACACACGTTTAACATGAAAAAGTTGCTCTATTTAAAAGAGTTTTGATTGCATTTATATGTATATAAATGAATTGTAATACGAGTAAAGTTTTAAAAACGAATAAGTTTACAAACGTTTTTTGTTTTTATTACTTTTTTATATCAATAGCGGGGATAAAATAAGGGATCCAAACCGTAACATTTTCAGATTTATGATTACTGAGCTTCACTGGGAAACTAATTCCATAATTTAACGCTACCAAAGTTTCATGTTTTTGTGATCTAATTCCGTTATGATATAAAAAAGTTCATCCATAATTTTTTACATGATAGAATTTCCGTTAAAGTAGGTGTTTCCAATTACACTGTAACACTTCCGCAGTTAAAAAGGGGTTAACGCAATCATAAATTGTATCTTCATACTTGGCTAATGCCGTAGTTAAAAATGATTGAGTATACTTACTACCTTATTTCATGTAGGTCCATTGTACTATTACTAAATGAGTATGGTATAAATGACGGAAATCTTTTAAAAAATACGAGTTGAATAATTAAATATATTAAACAATATTATTTAAAACTTTTAAATGTGATTGGGGTGAGTGTAATTTATAGATTTTTACACATTTCTGATCCATTACAAGTTTCATGATCACGGATCAGCAGGATTCAATACATTTTGTTAATATTTGACCTAAACTTTATTCAAAGTTTGACTAAAACAAAATAAGAGTATAGAGAGAGTTAAGGCAGATGTAGATAAGAATATGTAGAGAGGAATTCGTTCAACACTAGGGAAATATGCAATGCCGTTTGTTCCGCGGAGTTATACAATACTATGTAGCTTATTATCAGAAATTTTCATTGTTCCCTGGGAAATTGTCAGTCTACAATTGATTAATAGAACGTTTCTGAGTAAAATCAATAGTACTTGAATGTATCGATTCACGGTTCAACGACTCTCGGACAATTTGCATTTCAAATTGGCTTTCCAATATTTCTGTTTAACTCCTTTCGTGCTACAATAAATCGACTGTGATAGATGCGGTTTATTGTTATTTAGTTTTTAGGGTTCCGCAGCTTAAAATGAAAATATAATACCCTTACAGAATCTCTGTCCGTTTGTGTGTTCGTTGTCGCGGCTGGTTTTTTTAGACATTTCTCCGAAAAACCGTATCTATTGATTTGAAAAGTAATACACATTATGTAAGTTTGTGACCCAAAGGTTGTTGTGCAATGTAAATAAATGAATTTTAAACCGAGTTTTTTCTTTTGAGAGGTAAATAAAAAATAATGAAAAAGATTTTATGAACTTTATTGTGTGAGGTTACATGATAAAGAGTTCGTGACAAAAAATGTACAAAAGCTTTTCAAAGCTTGATATATCAGTATGTTGAAGTACTAATCCGTTAGTACTAAGTGCGAAGGTCACACCTGGTGGTGGTAATGCTAAATAAACTTCAAGAGATTGATGTATATGTTTGTTCCATTAAATTAAAATGAAGTAACTAGCAATAAGTAAGTCATTTCCAAATAAGCTTCTCAAATCTGCTAAGTCGTCGCTTTCATGATTGTGGAATTTGAACATTTTTTTATATTAAGAATAAGTTATTCGTCAATTTAAATTTATTTGAAAGTCTATTCGAAAGACCGGGTCGTCTTGTTTTAAGTCCAGAAATGAGAAAATTTCATAAAAACTTTCATCCTCTATTTTATCCCCTTAGGGGTCGAATTTCATAAAATCCCGTCTTACTAAGCACCGACATTCTAAAAAGAACCTGCATACAAAATTTTAAACTCCTAGCACTTGTAGTAACGGAGTTTCATACAAACTTTCATCCCCTAATTTAGCCCCTTTCGGGTAAGAATTTTCAAAAATTATCTCTTATTGTTCCTCTACATTTCCTAAGGAATATTCATTTCAAATTTCAACTTTCTAAGCTCAGTAGATTTGACTCGACATTTACGTTGTCTGTCATTCAGTCAGTCAGTCACTCACTCAGTAACGCAATTTTATCTATATAGACAAACTACTTCAACATATATGAAATATCAAGCTTTCAATAGTTCTTGCATAGTTTTGTCATCTCCTCTTAGACAATAATGAAAAAGAAAGCAAAAATTTGAAGTTATTAAAGGAAATATACAAAAAAAAAACTACTATCAGATTTCTTCACAAAATCACCAAAGTTAATGGGCTTATTAAATATTGTGAAAAATAAAATTATAGAAATTGTTCTTTACCCGAAGATTTTATGAAAACTTATAAAGAATATGGATTTTAAAATTTAATTATGTCGTTATCCTTGTTTCCAATGACATGGAAAATAATATGTTACTTAATTTAAAGTATTTTTTTTTATTTAACAATATTGACCGACTGCATTTACATTTCTTAATATTAAAGCCAACTTGTTGAGTCGAGCACCTTTGTTTGATCAAAGGTATTTTGATCATGATGACGACCAAATAGAAAAATAATATACCTTATTAAATAATAACTCCATCATAAAGCTTCCCGAGGTTTTCCAGGCCCATTTTAGTTACCCTAATATTCTCAAATCTCAAATTCAATTCTCAAAATCTTTAGCTTAATCATTGTACTTATGACGATCAGGACAGATCTTCTTGTTGTTTTAAGCTTTTGATTTAAGCTAATGATATTTTTTACGGGATCACTGCATTACTACAGAACTCTCGTCAGAACCTTTTTATTCTATTGTAGTGCTTTAAGTGTAATATGTTAGTTAAAGTAGGTCTGACGAGAGGAATGACGGCACCGGTAATGAAACTGAATAACCGGCTAAGCAAGAGACTGGCGATACAGCCTTACCATATAACTCATATGAACCGTATTTGAGGAGCCTGTTGACAGTTTTGAGAAACGGACAGAAATAACGAAAAAGAAAATAAGCAAAAAGACGAAAACGGATCCTCGTAGGCTATCCCAAGTGAATTTGAAAGGAGTTCATGGCTATTATTTTGTTAATAAGAAATGGTGTACTATAATAATCTTTTGTTCATAAAGAAAATATAAAATGCGTTACCTTCACATAACTCAGTACAATACAAGTTTTTAAAACCACCATAAACTAGGCATCACTCAAGACGTTTAATTGCTACTAAACAGTGTAGTTAAGTACAGTTATGCTAATCTGTTAATAAATAGCCTTGATATCGTCGTCGATCTCAACGCTACGTTAAAGCTCTATAATATCAATGAAATAAAACTTTTATTACCTTTATGCTACATTAACCACGAGAAAATTTTTTTTTGTTAAACAGAATAGGACTGGGATCAATTATAAATAAATCAATACCAGTTGACATAATGTGGTCCAAGCTTACAGGTTTAATTGATGGTAAATAATAAGCAAAACTTTTTAACGTGCATTATATTCATAGCAAGTATTCTATCTTTCTCGTAAGGCAATATTAGCACTAACGAATTCCACTTTGTACAAGAAATTGCGCACAAGGAGATGCCATTGATATGGAAATTCGCAGCGAATGTAAGTAGGTACGAAGATGAGGAATTACACTCACCGCTTTGAAATTTAGAGCCGAATAATCCATCGTTAGCGGAGCAGAGTCTCGTAAGAATTGAAAATAGCAGCCAGTGAAATCTGAAATGAAAGAAAACAGGAAAAAGTTAATACAATTGTTGATGTGTTGCCTTATTAATGCTAGAATAGAAATTAATTTATCCCATATTTTTTAAAGTAAAAAATAACGTTATTGGGTATTTGGCACATCGTTAAAGTCGTAACAACCGATTGATGTGTTGTGTGTTTGATACTACGTTCTTGCTGGATATAAATAGCCGTTATATTTCCTTTAGCTTTATTATAATTTGTAAGAAGTCGGTTTGTTACAAAGTTTAGGCTTCTAAGTAAGTACGTTAATCAATTTTGTAACATCCCACTTACTTGTTGTTTATCATCACAATACAGTTTCCATAGTTTAATATAATTAACCAGTTCTTTTTATTTTACTAGAGTGGATGAAGAAAATTTTAAACCAGTTTTTATGGTTCTACTTTAGTCTTTACATGAGTTGCAGAGGCGTCTTGGAACATGTAAAGATTTTATTCAAAGATCTATTTCGTACCCTCAAAAATCACGTTTAAATATTTCTTTAATTTTAATTTCATTATATATTCTTAAAGTTATTATATAAATACATATTCTATAAATATTTCAAGAGTCTGCCTGTTGCTGTTATCAATATGAAGCAAAACAAGCAAAAATTCACGTTTGTTGTATGGGAGCTCCCATAAATATTTATTTTATTATGGTTTTTAGTATTTGTTGTTGAAGGGGCAACAGAAATACATAATTTGTGAAAATATTTAACTTTCACGATTCATGAGATATAGCTTAGTGGTAGATAGACAGAGAAGTCGGTATGGGACCCTGTGTACGAGTCCAACTTTTGCTTGCCCGGATTTTTTCAAAATATACATTTTAATGAAGAATTATTTATCAGATGACTAAATACTATATGGATGACTATTAACGAGATACTTAACCGAGGGCCGTTGAATTATGTTTTCGAAAAATGTACTAAAATATAATTATGCATTACTAAAATCATAAAATACTTGAATACATGATAAAATAGTAACTCACTAATGGTAGGAAATACTTTTATCTAAAATATCAACAAAAATTTAAAGTAGTAGAGTTAAATAATAAATTGAGCGAAAAAAAAATACTAAGTGAAGGAAACTATATCCGTTCGATACCTATAATTGAAGAAATTTCACGCAGGTCACGCACAATCATTTATGAAAACGCTGAATGAAGAAAGCAACAACAAGCTGACTATCAAGTTGCTATGAGGATCAGACGTAAAATCTGGCAGCAGGCATTTTTATAACTTTAAAATGAAAGCTTTTATCTGAAAGTCCAGAATAAGCACAGTAGTCAAAGAGATAAATCACATCAAAAGGACTGAGTCATTATTAAAATACTTCAATGAAAGGGCTACTATTTCAATAAAACATTTGTTTGTATTTTTTTATAAGGCTAGTCGATTCTACTGCGCACTAAATTTGAAAGAAGAAAAATTGGAATATTCCATGAAAACACGCGCGTTATTCACAGAAACACCGGTAGAATTTACTTATTTGTTGCCATCTTTTGGGCAGGCCTGTGAGGAGGTCGATAGGTTAATCAAGATGATATAGTGGTGGCTGCTTACTAACAGATTTTTAATTAAAATTATTTTACATCTCCAGACTAGCAGACTAGTGTTCACATAGTATCCTCCGACCACGTGGGCAAAGCCACGGATTACAGCTAGTATTTTATAGAAATTAAAGAATGAGGCATTCTATTGTGAGTTTATCTATCATATTCAACAGTCACAGTCACAGCTATTTGATTTTGTATTGTGTCCATTATGTTATATAGCATTTAATTTGTCATAGTATATAGCTAGTCTTTTACAAATACAGTGCCAAACTCAGCGATGTCAGAGCGTTGGAGGTTAAATCAAACAAAAGCTACTTCGACATGTAATAAAGGATTTATTCGTATTTTAGTGTTCGAATTTGAATTATTAAAATACCAAACTGATCGGCTGAACATAATAGCTTCAAAATTTAGTAGGTAACGAGATACCTCCCACGTGTACTAAACATGTGTAGTTTGATAAAAGCTTATAAACTTCCCTTTTCAATAGAATTAATAATTTTTAGAACTACATCGTCCCGTTAAATACTTTATTCGTGACATTTAAAAGGACGCCTTGATCGTTGAGAACTGGGGGCGTCGAATTTCCAATTAGATCCATTTAGACGTTCAATACTATGAAAACGAAGAAAAATGTCAATTTGCAATTCAGATCCTGTTTGGGAGTTGGGTGAAGAGAGCCTTAATTGGTACGAATATTGGCTTTTTTTGTTGTTGTCGTAGACGATCATCAGTCTTTGCAAAACGTTCTGAATCAAAACATCGATGTAATTGATGAAAAGCTTGTTTCGAAGTCGGGAAGTTTCCACCCCCGATAATAAGACAACGATTCGATTATTTAGAGGCATCGCGATTGATGGTTTTTTTCTTTGTTGTTCACAAACAAATTACTTATGTGTCGGAAAACATTTACAGCCGCTCATTGGAGGCGATTTGTTGACCAATTATGTTATTGTAATCGATAAATAAAGAGAGGAGCTCGTCTGTGATATGGTTGTCAAGCAACTTTCGCAAGGGCCTGTCATAGGATGGGTGACCATAAACTTCATTCTTCGGAAGTCACGCTAAGTCTTTGGTCCCGGCTGCATCTGCAATCGTTTACACCCACCAATCGTCATTGGTGCCGCGTGGTGGGTTTTGGTCCATTCTACCTATTCGATTTGATTCCATTCCATCCGTAGAAAAGGCCAGTGCTCCAGTAGTAGGGACATTAATACGCTGGTGATGATGATGTGATGATTACCGATAAATTAGCTTTAAATAAAATTTTGTTCGACTTGTAATGTTATGTTTGTTCATCTTATTTTGCAACTGAATAGCAAAAAAAGAAAAAGCAGTTATCTTCAATCTTGCATATGGTGATCTAAGTTACATTTATTTTTAATCTAGTATTTCGGACGACAATATGGTGGCAGCATTTTCATACTACAAAGAAACAAAAACAAAAAAAAGTAAAAAGTAATCATTGGCTGCATTTTCACTTGAAGGATATACACATTGAAAATGCAGGTTTCTTTTATATGTTCGGCACATATGAAGCATTTAACTAATTTATATTTAACCAAATAAATTTTATGGCACTAATTTGCAAAATATTACGCTTCGAAAACTTGAAAAAAGATGGAAAAATAAACTCCAAAAATTTACTAAAATATATGTGGCATTAAATTAGTTACATAAAACGCTACCACATTCGTTGTAACAGCTATAAACATAAACGTATAAATAACAAAGATATTACAAGGATTGCACAGACGGCAAAACGTTTTTCGCTACCGTAGCACTGTATGACGTCACTTAGTTCCTTGAATTTGTATTTCGGCCGACTAGCAGCAGTTGCACAAGTACAGCACCATATCACCAAAACTATTAATCGCAGACTTCTCAGATGCTGTTACTTTCACATTATTTTTCAGTTATTAATGGACCGTTTATTTATAAAATAAAAAGTTGTCAACTAGCCTAATTGTACTTACTTATAACAGCTACGTGATGGTGGTAAACAAAAATTGAAATATATTCATATCTTATTTCAACTCTATTCATTTTTTTACACAAAATACGGAACATGTTTCTGTTTGAAATTTTCTTTATTATTTCAGGAAAAAGTTTAAAAATCTTTTTTTATTTATTATATTATTCTAAAATTGAGTTATCAAAATTTGCCAAATTATAAACTAAGGTTATAAATTTATTGACATATCCAATTTATTGTTTGCCCAATAGCCACAGAGCTGTAAATTCAAATCTCCACGAATACAAAGACCTGAATTATTGTGACAGTTAGAATTGTTTTCTTCTTAGCTAAGTTATATAATTTATTTTCTTAAAGCCCTTGTGTTTATTTGAAAAATGGAATCTCAAAATATTTTTTGAAATCTCATTTAATATAACTTACTGCAGCGAACATCAATAAGCACAGCTTGAAAAGAAACTCGTGTAGCTAATATCAGGAGCTCGACAACGATTCGTATGTAGTTTATTATATTTTCGACATATGAAGAAATTTAATTTCAACTCGCGATATTTTCGAAACAAATAATCTCGCACATTTGTTTTCCTACTCTTTGAAATGCCAGTGGAAATTGTGGATGTTAACAAGTAAGTGTTTGGATAGCTATATTATTCCTGTAGTTGTTTAGTTTTTTTTCTCGATATTATATAGTTGTGTAATGCATATTATAATGATATTCATTGACACTAGGTCAATAAAAACAGTTATTCACACATTTTTATTTAAACATTTCAACATACAGTTACACACCCACAAATTTGACATTCTATAGTAAGCTATTATATACAAACAAACAATCAAATTTTTCCTCTTCTCAATATTAGTAAAGGTATAAATAAATAATAATAATAATATTTATTTTCCAAAATTTACATGTGCTTATACTCAATATTACAATTGAGTAGCTTCTATGCCTGAATGAGGTTTATATACTAAACTCGAATCTCAGGCTCCAACGCTCCTCCCTCATTATACGGTCTTAGTATAAGAATACAACATTCGATGATAATAAATATTGAAATCCATAATTGATCTATTTTAGTTTCAACAGTTACTAATTACAAATGATTATATAAAGGTATGATTTCTTTTGAAGCCATAAAATTTTGCTTTTTAGATAATTACTGCTTTTTTTTTACTTCAAGTAGTTTTTCCAAAAGCTTATTAGTTTTTAAAGACTTTACATTACCATAGTAATGGCTAATAGGTTTAAGACGCTGAATAGTGCCAAATCGGTAAAATTGATCTTGGATTGTACTAATTCACGGGAAACCTATGGCAATCCAAAAATTTGTGGTTATACTTGATCGTATTTCTGATCTTGTGGTTGAAACCGAAACATGATTGTATTAACTTCACTCGATAGAAAATAATTCCAAAGTAGCATCTAAAAATATTGCGAAAGGCTCTTTTCTCAATTATGTGATACATTAGAGTAATGATATTGAGTACAAATATGTATCAAAGGTTAATATAAAAGTTGGTTATTCCCAATTTTTGATAATGTTATTATAATAATTATTATAATTTATTTTGTGATATGGCACATATGGTCATTTTTTTCAAGCAACTTTAAAGTATTGACATTTCTGTCACTCCTACTGCAATTGACAGGGAAGGCTATAGAATAACGCACACTAACTTAGTTCACGCTGAGGCGTGTTGCTGGATGGACCTATGTTGCTTTGTGCAGCGTTCTGACGTACCGAGATCGCTAAAATTGTAAAAAAA